GCTCCAGCTTGTGCAGAGCCCAGGGAAAGGCTTTATCCTAACCTACTACACTATCATGGCCCCCATGACCATTTTGGTGCCTTGGTCTGAGTGGGGCTGGGGTGGCTGTCTCTAGCGAGGCCTCTTTCCCCTTGATCTCTCTTGGTTCTCAGTCCCTACAGATCAGAGCTGAGGCCTTGGTAGCCCTGACCCCAAGACCTGTTCGGTTATCATTTACCTTTTATATCCTTGGATAAACTCAGGAGATAGAGAAACAAAATAGCTCTTCCATTGTATCCGGGGTTCTAGGAAACTTCCTGGGGCTCATCAGAGGCCCTCTGTGCCTCTTCTGACCCTTGGCCATTTCTTCAGTTCCTTTTTTGCTGTGTGTGTGTAACAGGAATGGGGAGGGTCTTTTGAGGTTGTAACTCAGAGATAATGTAAAGACTTGACACTGAAATCCTCTCTCTGATTCTTACATGTTCACTTTATAGCCTGAGTGAAATGCAAACCCCTTCTTGAGAACCCACACAATTTGACCCTGTTATTTTACTCTCTCATCTTATATTTATCTCCATCTTCTAGCTCCCTGCATAGTCAGGCCCATAGAAAGACCTTGGTCTTCTGGTTTCTTATTCTTTGAGATTTTTGCCTGAAACTTGACTTCCGAAATACAGATTTCAAGAGTCTAAAGTTGTGTTCTCTTTATTTGCTGTGATGACCCACCGTTAGATGATAGACAACTTCTCATGGACTCTCCTATAGAGGGGGTTACTGGTCAACAGAAAATTCTTGAAAGAGAACACTGAATAATATGTTACAATAATATCCAGTTACATACAGAAGTGCTTCTGGGAAGAGTGGTCACTGTGTCCCCAGATACTGAGATAGAAAGTGTCAGGAGAGCCTGAGTGATAAATGCTTCCAGTTGTTTTTCTAGTTCTTGTACTTCTTGAGTTTAACTAGTTCTTGAGTTTAACATTGTCTCCCTAGGGCGGTGTGACACTGTTGATCAGATATAATATGATGATCTTTGAGCTGGCAATAAAAAGTGTAGCAACTTTTCCTAAGGATAACACCTTCCAAGCTCACAATCTTACACTTATGAGACTGTGGACCAAACTACTGTTCATGCCACATTGTGCATCGTGTGTGTGTGTGCTCTTGTTTATTCACCTTAAATGTATGTGATTTTGACACATCTTATTGAGGGAGCTTGTAAAGTTGAATGATGCCTCCATTTTTAGCCCTACTGTATTTTTTTTTAAGCAACTGATACTATCATCTTGCAAATTTTTTATTAGTGACCTTGTTTTTTATTTACTTAATCATCAGTTCTGTATATTTGATGATACTCTCAGTGGTTTTTATATCTACAATTTGGGGCTGTGAAGTCATTGTTTGAAAACATTTTCCTCAAATAAATCTATGGCATTTTTTAATTGTAGAATTTTGTATATCTTGAGAACATATTTTTTTAAAAAAATTAGTACTGTATTACTTAAATACCATTCAATTGATTTGCCATCGTTTTTTATGTAAGATACATTCCTATTTCCATATAAGTAGTTTTCTAAAAATAACTTCGAGTTTTAATTTTGCTGACTTTTGATACAAACAATTTTTTGCCGTCTGGTTACGTCATGCACGTCTTGGTATACTAACCTAATATTTAAATCTTTATTTAATGAAACAAAGGCAATTTTTACACTCTATGTATTCCTCATTATTACTGCTTCTAAAGCATATATTTTCCAGAAAATTTCTTAAAGTTCTTATAATTATATATTTCAGTTAATTCATGAAGTCTGTTTTGTTCTCTGTGTTCTTTTTCAATTGATTTCCATACAAAGTTACCTGATTCTTATTGACATATATCCTGTTCCTGTCCTGTTTTCTGTGTATTACTGGCTGCTTATGTTGCTGACCACATCTCTGCATGTAGACCTTTGCCGTGGGTCACCATGGCACTGCCAAACATTGTATGCTAAATGCTGCGCCTTACACCGCCCTTCCGTTCCATACACGATTCTGTGCTCTAGGTCATGTAGTAATATATCTTAAGGGAACAGTTTTCTGATGTTTCTGAACTCAAAGTTTAGTACTTTTGTTTATATTGATTCCTAATAATAATTGTGTGTGTACAAACACTTGTATGCATAAGATCACTTCTTACCTAATGTCTCTTATATGTCTCAGATTGTAGTATTAAAAGATCCAAGGATATGATTTCAAATAATTTTAAAATTCCAACAAGTTTCTGGTTTTTTAATATAACAAACAGGCATAGATTAAAAAATCTTGCCAAAATTGGTAAATTTCTATGTTTTAGAAATACGTACTGTCGTTCATAAATTATTTTTTACCAAATATAATCACATCTCCAAAGAGTTTAAACCTTGGCAAAAGCCTCCTGCTGTCTTTACTTCCACCATACAACCTCTCTGTCCTCGTCAGGGGAGCAATGTGCAGCACCCTTCCTTGCAGGACTCTGCAGTGGTTTAATGGCATCCACATGTGTTTAGACAGAGTGAATTCATCCATTCTCCTCTTGATGATTTTGGGTCCTGCTAAGAACATTTTTATACCTGTCTTCTGGAATAGTATATATGTGTGTATATCTTGAGTATCTGCCTGGAAATGGATTTTGTGGGATATTCTGTTTAATAATGTTTAGAGCAAATCACTGGAGTAGATGTAAATTTACAATCTTCCTGTAACACCACATTCTCTCCCTTTCTAATATCCTTCACTTTTGCCTCATACCCATAGTATAGTTCCCACGGAATGAGCCTGCCTTCCTTCCTTCCTTCCTTTCTCCCTCCCTACTCCCTCCCTCCCTTCCTTCTTTCCTTCCTCTCTCTCTCCCTCCCTCCCTTCCCTTCCCTTCCCTCCCCTCCCTCCCTCCCTTCTTTCCTTCCTTCCTTCCTTCCTTCCTTCTTATGGTGACATTAGATGAACAAAATCCAGTAAGTTACAGGTGTACAGTTAAACAATAAGGCATATATATATTGCATCGTGTGTCCACCACCCATAGTTAGTTATCTTTGTCACCACATATTTGACCCCTTTTATCTCATCTACCTCCCCCGTCCCTGCCTTCCCTCTGGTAACCACTAGTCCACTGTCCATGCCTGTGAGTCTGTTTGTCATGTTTGTTTGTTGATTTTTGATTTATAGCACACATATAAGTGATGATATATGGTTTTCAACTTTTTCTGTCTGGCTTATTGCCTTTAGCATGATTATCTCAAGGTCCATCCATGTTGTCGCAAATGGCGTATTTCATCTCTTCTTATAGCTGAGTAATATTCCATTGTATATATGTACCACATCTTTATCCAGTCATCTGTTGTAGGACACTTCGGTTCCTTCCATATCCTGGCCACCATGAATAATGCTGCTGTGAACATCAGTGTGCATATATCTTTTCGGATATATGTTTTCAAATCTTTTGGGTAAATACTCAGTAAAGGGATTACTGGATCATATGGTGGGTGTTTTAACTGCCAAGCACAATTATATTTCCATAGATTTGTAAGCACAAGCATTGATCCCACAGTGCCATATTACCCCCTGCCCCTCACTCCTGCTTTTCTAAATCCCAGTCCTGGTCTTTCCTATACTGATAACTTCTAGTAGATTAATTTTGAGCACCCAGACACCCGTTTTCACAGGACCAGATCCTCCCCACACTGCATACTCTGCATGAGGAAAGACCCCCTACTTATTCCCAGTACAGCTTGCTCAATCAGCATCACAGGCTGCTCACTTTGTACATCAGCATGTACAGGACATAATGACTCCTATTGTCTATGAATGGTAGGACAGTCACAGTATAAATGATACAACTAAGGTCTGTCTCCTTTGAAACATTTCTTCCTAAGCTCCTGGTATTTGCTTTGACCTGTTATAATCTAATGTTTTTTCATAATTATTTTCAAAGTATTGACTATTTTTGCCTTATAACTGATAATTAAATGATACTCTGTATTTAGGGAATTGATCTAATACTCTCTATTATATAACTAGAATGAAATAATAGTTGAGATTTCAGAAATTCTTTCCTAATTCTTAATCTTTACAAAAATGTGTGTTTACCTGAACCAGGTATTTCAGAATGCAATGATTCTCAAAAAAATAGGAAAAACGATTTTCATTTTTCCTATTGTGTTTCTCTCCTGGAATGTGAGTTCATTTTTTACTTCTTAAAGAATAATTCTTTAGAATTTCAGAGACTATTATTCTGTATAACTGGGGTTACTTATTAACTACCTGCTAGATTTATCATGGGTTACCAATTTATTATTATGTTATATGCTGATATTTTTGGTATCTTTTTTCTTGCATTATATCTCCACACATTATTAAACACATTATTAGTAAGCACACTTTATTATAAAGATTAAGAATTAGGGAAGACAGTCTGAAATCTCAATTATGATTCATGCTTCTAGTTTTATAACAGCCAGTACATAGATTAACTAACTGTGAAGTATCACTTATTTATTCAATTTTACAGCCAAAAACTATGTATAGCGTATAGTGTATGCTTTGAAAATTTATATTTAAGGTCTGAGAAAACAGTAACATGAAAAAAGTTATAAAACAAAACTAAAAAAATTGTATATTGCAATGCTGTTTAAAGACTGTGTTTGAGAAACTTCAGAACTGTATTCATTATATTATTTTTTTGTGTAATTATGTAATTTAGTTTAAAATATTTATCTCCTAACTCTGATAGGAAGCCTTACTGTTGGATTTTCAATCAAGGAATTACCACCAAGATGGGACATTCATAAAGATGAATTATACCATCTAATGATATTGGAAAGAAATGATAGCCATGTTATCAAGAATTGTATCTTCAAGGAAGTCTGGGAAAATGTGCATGAGTTTGAGAGTGAGTGGGGATATGATGAGAGAAGTTATAAAGAAGTGCCTTTGACCCATAACAGAAATCTCACTCGTAGAAAAGATCAACAGCATGATAAATGCTCAATTAATTTTTCTCAAAAGGACAGTGTTTCTGTAAGAAATAGTACATACCAATATTTCATGCATGACAAGATTTTTATAAGAAATTTCTTACAACTGAAAAATAACTTAAGCAATACTGAAAACAAGTATGTAAAATGTTTGGAAAATAGAACTGGATTAAGTTTGCAAGCACACCAGCCTGACCTGCAGAGATTTCAAACTGAGGAGATAATTAATGAATGCAGTCAAGTTGAGAAGTCTGTCAACAATTGTTTCTCAGTTTCATCATTTCAAAGAATTCCTTCTACTGTCAAAAACTTTTGTAATAAATATAGGAAGATTTTTAAATATCCTTTGTTACCTGCACAATACAAGATAACACAACATACTACAGAAAAACCTTACAAATGTAGTGACTGTGGGAAGGCTTTTTCTAAAAGCTCACAACTCATGAATCATGAGAGAATTCATTCTGGGCAGAGACCTTATAAATGTAATGAGTGTGGCAAAGACTTTATGTTGCATTCACATCTTACTCAACATAAGAAAAGCCATACTGGAGAGAAACCTTATAAATGTAATGTGTGTGGCAAAGCTTTTATCCAGAGTTCAAGCCTTATGAAACATCAGAGAATTCACACAGGAGAAAAACCTTATAAATGTAATAAATGTGGTAAGGCTTTTAGCCAATGTTCACAACTTAGGAGTCATGACAGAACTCACACTGGAGAGAAACCTTATAAATGCAATGAGTGTGGCAAATCTTTTACCCAATTTACAAATCTTACTGCACATCAGAAAATACATACTGGAGAGAAACCACACAAATGTAATGTGTGTAGCAAAGCTTTTATCCAAAGATCAAGCCTTGTGGAACATCAGAGAATTCATACAGGAGAAAAACCTTATAAATGTAATAAATGTGATAAGGCTTTTATTGCACGTTCACACCTTTGTAGTCACGAGAAAGCTCATACTGGAGAGAAACCTAACAAATGTAATGAGTGTTGCAAAGCCTTTAAAGACCGTTCACTTCTTAATAAACATAGGAGAATCCATACTGGAGAGAAACCTTACAAATGTAACAAGTGTGGTAAAGCTTTTACCCAATTGGCACACCTTACTATGCATCAGAAAATACATACTGGAGAGAAACCACACAAATGTAATGTGTGTGGCAAGGCTTTTATACAAAGATCAGGCCTTATGGAACATCAGAGAATACATACAGGAGAAAAACCTTACAAATGCAATGAATGTGGCAAAGTCTTTCGTCACAGTTCACACCTCATACGTCACTGGAGAATTCATACTGGAGAAAAACCTTACAAATGCAATGAGTGTGGCTTAGCCTTTATGGAGCGTTCAAATCTTACTCAACATAAGAAATTCCATAGTGGAGAGAAACCTTACAAGTGTAATGAATGTGGCAAAGGTTTTACAGAGCGTTCACATCTTAATAAACATGAGAGAATCCATACTGGAGAGAAACCTTACAAATGTAATGAGTGTGGCAAAGCTTTTACCCAATTTGCAAACCTTAAAAGGCATCAGAAAATACATTCTGAATAGAAACAGTATACACGTAATTTATGAGGCAGTGCCTTTTATTCAAAGCACAAGCTTTGTGCATCATCAGGAGAATTCTTAGTAGAAAGAACTTTACAAATATAATGATTGAGACAAAACTTACGCAAGTGTTCAAAACTTACTCCAAATCAGAGACTCTATTGTGAGAGAAATAATAGAAAACTAATTATCACAAAGCCTGTAATCCAGGCTGATACCTCAGTTGATATCAGAGTATACATCCTTGAGAGAAACCACGCAAATTTAATGTACAGCAAGGCTTATCCAAAGTTAAGCCTTGAGGAACGCAACAGGATTCTTACTAGAGAGAAACCTTACAAATATAATGTGTGATGGGTTTTACAAAATTGTGAACTTTGTGGTCATGAAAGAATTCATATAAGATAAAAACATACAAATGTGTTAAGGTCTTTAAGCAAAGACCTCAGGATACCCCTAAACCTCTACTGGACAGAGATATTATAGATATGAGGGTGGTAAGTTGTTTAACCAATTATCTCAATGGATTACACATAAGAAAATCCATGCTGAGGGCACTAGGTCTATTAGGTTTGAAGATTAACCAACTTCAAATGTCAAATTCCAGAGAATAAAAGTTAAAGTTATTTAAAACTCACGAGATGATACATGTCCATGGAGCAAGGGCATCTGTGATAAGTATTAATTAACTTCAGTTTACAAAATGTTTTTATTTATTTTGGAAAGGCTACATTATTTTTGATGACTTAGAACTTGAAGTTTTAAATCTGTTGATGTTATACTTTCTTTACATGCTTCTCATGTCTCACCATGATGGTCTCAGGGAAGGGATCATTAAGATGAAAGGACCTACTTCATTAGGTGGGGTTTATTCGGATCCATGTAACCTGGAAAGACAATGACACTAATTTTAAGATGTAAAAGGTATAAATTTGAGAGCATGGGGAGTGGCAGAGAATAGATGTAAAACTATTATCTAAATTATCGTGCAATTTAAGGTGATTGCCACTTCTCTAGATTTACTAGTGTGACTGAGGGCCTCTGCTGATGACTATAGGAAAAGCTTGCTCTACCAGATGATTAGGAAACAGTGGGCCAAGACATTGAGAGAATGAGATTTTCATGTGAATAGAATAATGGGATACATGAGATGGCATACATGGTAGAAAAAATGGAGGTGGAATAATGGTCTTCCTTCCTTTTGAAAGTTAACAGCTGTTATAAGTTAATGAAAATTCATGTTATTTTTGGAAACTGAAGACACAAAGTCAGTAGAAGACAGTTTAATCAAAAGAACCAGAGTACACCTATGAGGGATTTACATTTGGCCATAGAAATTCATTTGGATACTTAGAATGCATCGTATTACTTATGTCTAAATAAGTAAAACATAATTTTGTTACCTTGAAGAATTATGTGTCTTCTATTCACACGTGCATATTCCCCCTCACTGTGGCATATTATAATGAACCTAAATAGTACATCATTAGGCACTCTGTTGAAATGATATTTATAATTTGTATTTGAGTTGTACACTCCATAGTATATCCCACATTACTTCTATAGCTATAATTAAAATACCAGAGTACAATTTTAGAATCTCATGTGCTAAAACCATTTTTCCTGTTCTTGAATATACACCATATGACTATATTTCTACATGTCTTTTTTTTTTTTTCCTGAGGTAAGACTCATGGGTTACACCTTTACATCAAATAAAAATAGAATGTAGTAAGCATATGGAAAAGTTAGGGAATAAAAGAAAATTTCAGAAGAAGGATGAAAACACTTTTTTTGTGTTTTGAGTGCTCAGGGGGATAATTCCAAAAGAGTAGTGTTCGTGAGTTTCTTAGGAACATACAAAATTGGATTTTAAAAAATAAATTAGAGATTTCATATATTCACTCTCTAACACATTTTTATTAGTTTTCACTTGTGTTCCACTGGAATAGGATGGAGCCCCATTCAAAGTCTAGTTTGGATATTAAGAGTGATGACTCCATATACTAAAGTGTGATAATACTCCCCTTTCTGGGGAGAGCAGGGTAGACGTCCTCATTTGTTCTAAAAATGGCTAGAGAGGAGGGAATGGTGATTGGCTTGTGTTACCAAGTGTTGCTGTGGTGCTGGTACTCACTTGTGGCCCTGGGAGGGGCAGCCCCTCCCCCAGCCAGCAAGACCCCCTAGATGTCAAAACTGTAAATACATTATTCCACTCCTCCAATGTAACATTTATGAATGCCTCAACATTTTTTATGTTTTACTTTAAAAATCATTTTCCAATTACAGATGATGTACAATATTAGTTTTAGGTGTACTGCAATGTGATTAGACATTTTTATACCTTACAAAGTGATCACCCTAAGATATGTAGTACTCATCTGACACTATACAATTATTACAGTATTATCGACTATATTCCTTATGCTGTACTATTTTTTACATCCCCAAGACTATTTTTACAACTGGCAATTTGTACTAAATCCCTTTCATTTTTTTCACGCATCTTCCTAACCCCACTCTCATTGGTGACTATTAATTTGTTCTCTGTACTCATAACTCTATTGGTGAGTAATTCATGTTTGTTTGTTTGTTTTTAATCCATTCATCATTTGATGACGCTTTGAGCTCTTTCCACATTTTGACAAGTGCTTCTACAAGCAGTCTTTTAAAAGATATTTGGTAGACATATGTTTTCACTTGAGTATATTTGTAGAAGTGGAATTGCTAGTCGTAATAATGTAGTTTATAAGAAATGTATACTTGGTTATTTAGATGATTAATGAAGTATTTCCACCCTATTTGGCAAAATTGGTTTTATGGTTTTGCATTGATGCAAGGTGGTTGAGAAATTAGAACACATGGTCATGTATCAGGAATATTGGAGTAATCCTCACCATACTTAAAAGGCAAATCAGAATATTTATTATATATAGCATCTTCTGTGTTGTAAAAAATAAATAAAGGTTGGAATGGGGATACCCATAGTATATGTTTTTAATATAATTTTGACTTAAGATGAAAAAGCATTGTAGATACAGAAAATAAAATGAATAAAAATGAAAACGAAAATTGAAAACTATAATGTAACACAATTCATGTCTTTGGGAACAAACATAACTTTAAAATAACCATTTTAAACGTTCCCCTCAAATATATTCTGTGTTCCCAAGGAAATCCTACTGAAGTCTCTACTGCTTCATGGGAAATACTAATGTAGATGCCCAAATGATGAATGTTGCTAATTGTGATATAACAGTTATAAAACTATCTACAGTCCAGTATTAAAATACATTTGAGAGTGATATTAAGACTATTCTACTACAAGCCTTTTGCATATTTCTCACTTTACGGTGGATGGCATGATGAAAAACATCTCAAAATTGATTCTTTCATTTTCCTATCCTGATACTAGAATCAGAATATTTATATTAAAACTTAGAGAATTATTTAACTTTGTTTAGATTCAGATAGAGTTTAAAGGAAGTTAAGTCTGTAAGTCAGAAAACGCTAAGGACTGTAATAATTTTTGCCACTTATTTGAAACACCTAGGGTTATGTGGAGTGTTATACTCTTAGAATAAAAAACAAAGTCAATTGATATCTCAATCATCCTTGACTACCTTGTCAGTTAACATTTAACAAGGTATTTTAATTTGGTCTGTACAATGTTTTCTCTAATATCTCTTTTACTTTTCTCTGTTATTGAGGTATGAATATGACATTTAAAATTCCCATTAAAATTATAGTGGCCATTAAACTTTTTAAAAAAGTCCTAAGATTATCACTTCTTTATGTAAACCAGACAAAGCCTAATACTGAGAAGTATTTTGCCTCACTCTTTTTAGTTATTAAGCATCCATTTTGTTTGTAAGAGGAGAGAGGGCTGAGTGCTCATGGAAGTAGAATAGGCAGAGAGGATTGCCTGGAGGATCTGTCACAATGACGGGCAACATATGTCTAGATAATTGAAAATTAAAACTCTAATGGAAATAGAATATAAAATGGAAGGAATGAAGGTAGTAATATAGGAAGAGGATTCTTGAAATTAAGATTTCAAAGGTGGTAGAGTTACTGGAGATAATGAGATCCATCTGTAACCTTGACATTGGGAGGTCACTGTAGGTAAGGAAAAGAAAAAAGGTCATTGACAGTATACCATCAGCTTTCTCGAAGTTTTGCTATGGTAGCTCATATCCCTGGATTCTCGTTGGCTTACAACAACAAACCTTTGTTTCCCTGTCATGTTGTATCTATTATTCACCTCTTGCTTGGTTCCATAATTTGATTTTGGAATTCAGAGTAAACTTTCCAGGACTGTAGCAGAGAGAAGACATGGTTACAAGAAGCAAAAAAAGGCTTCCATTTAAAATTAAAAATTGCTATTCTCATACCACTTTGGCCTGGGAACACACAAAACCAAGTCTGCCATTAAGTGGACAAGGAAAATGCAATCTTATCATAGGGAAGAAAGAGTTGCGTAAGTTATATGGCCAAGTTTTATATCAAAGGACAGAGTGTGTAATCGCATGGGGGGTGGGGGGGGCGATCATTGGAAATAATATTACAATATGTGACAGTGCAGCACAACAAATGTGCAATTTTCCTGGGTGGAATGTGATCATAGCTCTATTTCATGAGAAAACAGGTACGAGGAATAATTTTTTCTTGACTCCAGTTCCTCTCCTGAGAATGGGTATCCAGTCCCTTGTATTTCATTGTTCTTGTCTTCACTCAGTCACATCTAATAGACTATTAGAAACTGCCTTCCTTGTGCGATAGGCAGCTTTCCTCAGCTACTTCCCTCAGATGCAGTGCTTAAAGTGATTTAAGTTACACTTTTTAAGTATAAAGATAGTTTTTTTCTGTTTTTGCTTTCAAGAGTTTAGTACTTATAGTACTCAAAAGGAGGGGCACCCCATAGGACATCGGGCCAGGCGGGAAAGTGCGGGGTTGGTCAGGAGTCAGAAGGAGCAGCGAAACGCATGGCCCAGAGCTCTTCCTGTGTTTTGTGGTGATCGAGGCAGCGGAGTAGGGCCTCGGTGTGTGTGTTAGATAAAGGAGGTG